GTGTAAACAAGTGGAGTATTGGGTGATGAATTAAACCACATGGTTGTGGAAGGAGGTATGGTACATTGTGGAATCGTGAAAAAAAGATAAATTTGTCAGTGGAGGCACAGATACGGAGAAATATTATTCAGCCAACATGATGAGATGGGTATATGAAACATGGATTTTCATATACAAGAGGAAGAAGTTAGTTAGAAAAGTTAGAAACAACAAAAATAACATGATTGAGGGCTGTATGTGGGGTAAATAGGTGGCAGAGACTAAGAAATATGGAGATGTTTAAGTAAAAGGTGTATCAGGCAGAGGGCAGATTAATGTTTGCATAACTGATACACTCAGGCGTCATAGTTTCGATGCACCCTCTTCCCCTACTCCTGACTCAATGGAAGTCGCAGTCTTGGCTTCATACCAAACGTCCCCCTCCCCCTCTCACTTCACCCCACCCATCGTTCAGTGGTGCAATATGGTAGCTCGAAGCTTCGCTGGATTGTACAGTACATCTCTATCGGGTACACTCACGCGCCATAGTTTCGATGCATCCTCTACCCTTACTCCAGGCTCGAGGGAAGTCGTAGTCAGGGCTGCAAACCTGACGAATGCAGCAACACCTGATCATCCCCAGCCTGCTTACATACTCAAGTGTCTTAGTTCTCAGTAGGCTTATAGCAAATTTGATTAGACCACTGTACAGTATTGATTAATGTTGTTCATTTCATAAGGAATTTTTTTATTAATCTTGCCTTTTTTTTTTTTATAGTATTTCTGGTGCTCAGAGTCAGAAAAAAGTTAATTCCGATATATTGAAGTCCAATTTACTGATGTTTTACTTAAATATATAATGTTTTAAGGTGTGGATTAGGTGTTTGACACAGGCAATGCAAGCAGAGAAGATGCATTTTCCAAAAATAGAGCTTATTTGTTGTATAGTGCTGTAAGTCTATATCATATAAGTAGATAGTTTTAGATTATACAGAAGGTATTCAGGAGATGAGAATTATATGACACATTGGTAGAAATGTATAACTTTTATGTGCATTACGTGTTTGTAAGTACAAACACAGTACAGTATAACCTCAGTAGTAATGACACATTTCACACTTAAGTAAAGATGGTTAAAATGAATTACAGTACAGTGAAAAAAATTTGAACAATAAAAATGTGTACTGCTCTTTACAACAGAAACTCTCCAACACTACCACAGCACCACATCATGAACATTCTCATCTCATTGGAAGGTAATTCACAGTTTGCCACATGATGGTATTGCCTGTCCGTCATGTAAAGGAAACTGATTTGACCATGGTTGTACACCCTCCCAGCCATGTCCATACTCACCATGTTTGACCCGAGCTGACATGGACTTCCTGATGTATAATTTCAATTGACCTGATCTCTGAACTACTAACTCTGACACTTCCTGTGCCAAATGGAAAATATCTTGTGAATTTCAAAATTTATATCTGTAGTTTAAGTCAATCTTTGTTATGATCATTGTGTGAAAATTTTCACTGCCATTTTTATCATTTCAGTGATGACAGCTTGGGTTATGAATTTCCTTTTGTCCTACGTGTTGTGGAGCGGGAAGGGCTACAATGTGCATGGTGTCCTTGGTATAGATTTTGCAGAGGATGTCAGTTGCCATGTGATGACAATACTTTCTCACAAAATGCTGCCTTCCTTGCAATAGATTGGGACCCAACTGCTCTTCATCTACGATATCAGACAGCTTTAGAAAGAGTCAGTAAATAATCCATTATAATCACTTCATATATATGATAATTATAGTATACTTTAATTTTAATAAAATTTATTCATGAAGTGTGAATTATGAAGTAACACAGACTTTTTCATAACAGGTATTTATGGAACACAGTAGTGTTGAAGAAATGCGTCGTAAACATGTTGAACCTATAGCTCTCTCAGATTGCTTAGAAGCATTTTGTTCCGAAGAAACTCTGGAATATTCTTGTGACAAATGTGGAAAGGTCCAACAAGCAGCAAAAAAACTACAGATATGGAGATTACCTCCAGTCCTAGTAAGTATTTTTTTCCTTTAAATAGGTGAACCACTACTTAAAGATGTACTGTATTTAGACTATGTAATAAAGTTAGGTTTATCAGTTAAAAAGCAGTTTCTGAATAAGGCTGTATGAGGAGGATGTTAAGATTGAGTTCTAATTAGAGTAGAGCTATACAGTAGTAGTTAAAAAAATAAATATTATTCAGGATGGTTTTACAGTACCTTTATTTGAATCTTTGAAGATTTGGAATATATTTGTAAATTCTGGTATTAAACTTTTTATATTCAGAAGAAATGGCTGACCTGTGATTAAAAAGAAGTAAAAATGAGAAAAATACAAGTATAGGATGAAATATTATATCAAAGATACTTATGAAATATAAATAAATGGCAGTAACGCTTACTGTACTGTACTTCTTTTTAGAGATTTTTAACCCCTCAGCCTAAATGGCCCCAATTACCCCCCAGAACTCAAAGAAAAGAGTACAGTGGTCCCTCGGTTAACGAGCACAATTCGTTCCAGAATGTCGTTCGTTAACCGAATCCATTGTTTCAATGGTATATTGGATAATTGGTTCCAGCTCACCGAAAAGTACTTACAAAGTAAAAAAAAAAAAATGCAGTAAAGTACACTTACTTTGAGGTGTGTATGTAGAAGGTTCCTGCTTCATGATGATGATGGGAATTAGAAGTGGGGTGGAGGAGAAATCACCTTTCAGGGAGCCCACGCTTGATGCCATCATTTCACCAATAAAATTTTAAGTTCACTAGGTGTAATTCAAGATTATTTTCTTTAAATCAACACTGCACTGTGCTATATATTATCAATATGTTAACTAAAGTTCAGAATGACCAATAATTTCAATGAAAAATGCAAAAATATTCAAGACACCAACAAAATAGGTGCTCTCCACTGTAAACAAAGCCTCAACTGATGCCTTGTGACCGACTCGCGCATCTGATGGGTGCACAACAAACTAGTTCCCTGTACTGCATATATTATCAATATGTTAAATAAATGTTAAAATGACTAATATTTTTAATATAAAACATGCAAAAATATTAAATAGCACAACTTTATTGATATTTACTCCATTGGAAATTAATGTAAACATAGAACAGATTACTGAATGGGCAGACTAGCCCATCAGCTGATGCTCACAACAAAGTGTGATTTTTGTAAGGATTTCGTAAATTGAATTTTTGTTCGTTAACCGAATTGAAGATTCTTATGGAAGGTAATTCGTTAACCGAAGGACCACTGTATTTACTTGCGTTTAAATGGCCATCAAGTAACGTCTTTCTTTATTGGTGCCATGTGCTATGATGTCTCTGCCTATCCGAATTTTATGTTTTTATTCACTATTTATTCTAAGTGTCTGTATTACAAAGTTATAAAAACTTAATTATTATGTAACTTACATGTAATGTGGTGAAGATATGGCAACACCGCTTGTCAGCTGGCTCAGCCACCCCTCTCAGCTGTCAATGGCGTGCCCTCACTGTTCTCCACATAATGCATCTTTTATACGTATACTTGTCACTTATTTCTATACTTTGGCTATATTTAGACACTATTTGAACTAGTTATTCTTCACTACATGTTTCAAAAGTGCTCCTCAGTGTGATACACCTTGAAACTCAGTATGAACCAGAGTGGTATGCTGCACATCTGACACATGTAAGATGTTTCCTTGCACATCTGAGGCTGCTTTGTTGAGTGTGCACACACACACACACACACACACACATGGCATTTTCATGTTGGGCGTCTCTTTGATGCTTTAGGAGGTATACAGTCTGGGAAGTGAGTGAACTGACTGGCATTCAGGCATTGTTGTGTTACTGGGAGCTGATGGACTGTAGGCTCAAGTGGCTGGTGGTAGACAGCCAGAAGTTGCTTCACAATGTGGATGGCATAATCACTTGGAGACTGTTTCTTTCCTGTCACTTGTTAGTGTAGTATGTGTGCATTTAATACTGACATGTCCAAGAGATGGAAACCATTTTCTTATAACATTTCATTGTTTTCCTGGCACATTTTCCACTTAGGATTATTACATCTGATTTATCTACAAGTTTCATACATATATTATAAGAAAACACACACTCACGTTTCATCTTGTATTGTTTTGTTGTCTTGTCTATGTTATGGCTCTGCACAATGTCATGACACTGAAAGGTATTTATGTGATTTCCTGTGGGTGACTTGACCATCAATCATTTCTTTTTTGTTTGGGAAGTATGGCATTGTAATACACTTGGCGCTGCATGTCCCACGAGCCCCACTCTTATTGTCATGTAAGTGCTGGAACAACATGGTACTTGTGTGATAGTTTTCACAGTACAAGATGTGTCCCTTACCAAGATATGTCCATAAATGTCTTCACTATCCCCCAGACTGGCCAGTGATAGGATCAATGGTTATATCATTAGTGCTGCTCGTGTACATTATCATTTCCTGGATGTAGCCTGTCTTGCAATCACACATCTAGGTCATCATCGTCATCGTTTTCTGCATCTTGGGGGTCATCCATCCCTGCAAGTAGGTCTGGAGAGGCAGGCTGGGGTGGTAGTGAGTCACTTGGGGTGGGTGTAGGGTCACATGATGAACCTGGTGAGCGGAGTAAGGGGGAGCATTGAGACAAAGGCCTACGCCTACATTCAGGGGTAGTGATGAGGAGGGGGGGGGCAGAAGCAGGTGAGGAACCTCAGGTTGGTTGACACTCATAAGCACATGGAGGCAGAGGTGAATGACGAGACAGTGATGTCCTCCTGTCCCTCCCTTTCCTATCTGGCCCCTCTCACCGAGGCCGGGTCAAGGATAGATCACGTGACCCACACGGTGGTGTGAGTGGGCAGGCGAGCTAAGATGAGATGTGAGATGAGCATCTAAATACAAGAAAACAATCCCATTCATTTCACATAATATTGAAACCCAAAACTCCAAGACATATTTACACGTCATTGATCACCAATGCCACTTATGCACAGAATAAGTACTTATTTTACTCTTTATCTTGGAGTTGGAATTTAATATAATAACTGCTTTAGGAGTTAATTTATTACATATGAGGGTGAATCTATTGCTACTGAAAACCAATAAGTGGTATTAACAGTTATAATGAAAAATAATAATAATTGCAAGGCTGTTTATGATAATTGCTACCTTTATACCCCTAACTTGTGTCAGCAAAATTGAAGATTTTGAAAAAAAGGTCAGGTATCAAGGTTCTAGTCATGCTGTTTTTTGAAGAAAATACTGTTTTAGAAATAGGATTTTTATTTTAACTGCCTGAATAGTTCAATTCTAACATGTACACAGATAGCTGGAGTTGATTGAACTATGCAAGCTTGTGCATAATTAAGATGACTAACTTCAAAACACTGCTATCTATAGGGTTAAAATTTTGGGGGGCTATTTGGTATATGATTTAATTCTCTAGTCCATTTATAATAGCTTGATGAGACGCTTTCTTTTTGTTGCTTCTTGTGAATGTTGCAAATACGGTAGACATTAGCTTGTAGGCTAGTTAAATATTCATGCAATGGAGCTTCATGTGAATACTCTGAGCTCACTAGTGCATAAAACATACAGAAAGTTCTTGCTTGTATAGTGCTCTTTAATGTATGCCCGTGAGTGGGGTCTGTATGTAGCTGTGCCCTAAGCCTTAGTTGTTAGTTAGCTAACTCCTTGGGAGAGGTTTTCTCTCTGCTTGGATCCCTCAAGGAAAATGGGGGCTATGCTCTTCACCCCTACCTTGGCTATATGCATTGTGTACAGTGCAGGGGAAATAAAGAAAAAAAAAAGGCAGTCAATAAATAGCAATATACCTGTACTTTACACACTTTGCATACTGTCTAGTAATGTTGAGGGTATGATCATTGTATTCCTGTTTGTTTTGTTATATTCACTACCATTTCTCTCCTTTCCTTGGGGTTTCCTTATCTCACAGTTCACTTCACTTGAAGTGGGAAAGTAGTAAAGATAATACTGTATTGTATATGGATTTAGAAATACTTATGCATTGACACTAAAAATATTATGATCCTTGTTTGTAGATATTATCTCCTATACTTTTTCCAAACAATAGATTGTTCACCTGAAGAGATTCCAGTTTGTGGGTAACAAGTGGATTAAAAGCCAGAAAATTGTGAATTTCCCATTGAGAGAATTTGATCCCACTGAGTACCTGGCTTCTGTTCCCCGACAAACAATCCATCTCCATAGAGCAGAGCTAGAGGGAGTTGACCCAGCAGTGTATTTGGCTAATCTTCAAGATAAAGATAATATCTTCTTAGAAGTTGTGCCAGAAAATAAGGTGAGAATATTTGCTGTATTTTGTTAAGAATACAGTACTTGTAGTAAGTATCTGATCAAAGATTACAAAATGGTTTTATATTGTTAATATTGCTATTTAATGTTTCGTTAAGTAAGTGTTGATTTCCTTTACTGTATTTGCAGATCATTGAACACATTAAGGGCAACTTTGATGATGAATTGATAGTGAAAAATGGAAAACCATCAATGAACGGATCTGTTAACGGCAGCATAACAAGCAGCACAACCAGGTAAACAACTCAACTGTCTAATCAAATTGGTTAAAGACTATTTTTGCACAGTCTTATATAGTTAAGGATAATGATATACTCTTCCTCTTAAACTGGAAAACATTAAATTGAATTTGCATACTGTATGTCATTCCATTTGCATAATTTTAATTTGTTTGTCTTCAGTCCATGCTCAGGCACCCCCCGTGATGGGTCTCTTAGTAGTGGTGAGGCAGGGAATAAAAGACGTATAAGAAATGGTTCAGTTTTGTATGGGGACACACTCCAAGACTTCCATCAGCACCGTTTAGAAGAAGGATATGACCCACTAGACCTCAAATATAGCTTGTATGCTATTGCAGTAAGTATTTGTTTTTAATTATTATTATTATTATTATTATTACTAAAGTAATGTAAGTAAATACAGTACAGTTAACCCTCGTCAACTCAGACTAACTGGGGGGGGGAAGGACATCCAAGAAGGCCGATTATTATCTGAGTAGGCTGAGGTCCCAACTAGGTTTGAGAATCTAAGGGCAATAGTCTGAGATGGAAGGAAATGTCTGTGTCAAGTGCCCTGAGAGATTTCAATATAGAGAACAATACTGTACATAGATATAATCTAACTGCCCAATTTTTATAGAAAATTTTTCTGGATATATATTCACAGCGGCCATATCACGTGGATGGACAATAATACGTCATGTATAGTAAACATATACAGTTATTTGTTAAAAAGTTTTGAAATGATGGAATTAGTGTTGAAGTGAGAAACTGTGGTGTTTATTATATTATTCTATTTCTCACTGACCGTTTGTCTAACATGGTACCCACAGTACTGGAGCGTATCCTCATCGCCTTTAGTGAAAAACATGAAATGTCTCTAATATTTCATTTCTTGCAGAAGCATTAAATATTGCTAATACTATATTTCATTAAATAAGTAGTTAAAGTTCTAATAGATAAATACAAAACAAAAAATTTCAGCACAATCAGTCACTTTGTCTACGAAAAATGTCAGCACGAGTGGTCACTTCATCTGTAAAGAATGTCAGCACGGGTGGTCACTTCGTTTGTAAAGAATGTCAGCACGAGCAGTTGTTTTGTGTGGTGATCACGTGGATAATGCAGCTCTATCAAGTGTTCTGACTCAGTTACTGTCGAGATATTGTAGATGGATGACAATGCATTGTGTACAGTAAACATATTACAGGACTACAGCACTCAGATTATCACAAGGGATGCGTTCCTAAAAGTAATTACAAATATCGGGGTAATTTTCCTCATAAGAATTAAGGTAAATAGTAGAGGATGCATTCCCAGCTGACAACTTTCACCACATATTTTTTATACCCACTTCTCATTATCCGAGGTTATTAGGAACCAGGGTGCGTGTTTACTGTAGTACAGTACCAGTAAATGTGAGGAATAAATAAAATTTTTACTACTAAAAAAAAAAAATACCACACTGCCAATTGGCAATAGTTTCACTACATGCCGGACACGAGAGACTGGATCCATAGTGTTGCTGCTCTTCCTCCTCCTCCTGCCACGATTTGTGCTCTATCTCCCAAGCACGTAAGAAATGTTTTTTCTCTTCGTGTTTTTCACCCTATGATAATATTTGTTTTGTTTTTTGCACACACTGTAGGAATGACGGTGTGTGCATGTAACATTAAAAAAACGTTGAAGAAAATTACATATACTGTACAGGTATCATCCCGAAAATAACTACAGTATAACGCAGCTCACAGCTAAGCCAGTACACTGCACCCACTCCCACTCCCCTCCCCCTGCCCACACTAACTCATGCTGACATAAGAAATGTTTTCTTTTTTGTTTTCTCCTTATGATAATCTTTTTCTTTTCTTTTTTTTTGTGGAGAACAAATTCTGGGGTTTGTGGAGAGGGAGCAAATTCTGTGGGGGGGTTTGTGGAGAGGGAGCAAATTCTGTGGGGGGGTTTGTGGAGAGGGAGCAAATTCTGTATAAAAGATTGTGTTTGCATGTAACAAAGTAAAAAAAAATAAATAAAAAAATACGTATATCTATCTAAAAATACAAGTTGAAAAAATAATAATAACACAGGGGGAGAGTTAGGGGGATGTAGCTACAGGGATAGTCTAACTTGGGGACATGCCAAGTTCACACATGCTCTTTATATTTTGTTATTTAATAGCAACATATTTTGTATATACAGGTACACTCCTTATAATGCACTAAAATATCTACAATAGTACTGTAAAAACAATATAAACGAACACTGTGAGTGAGTGTGCGTGCATGAGAGCTGCGGCTAGCTCACATGGTTTAAAATAGTACCGTAGGATACCGTAATTTTTCTTTGGGAATAAGTGGGGTATGCTTTGCAAATATCAAATTGGACTGCTAAAATGTCGATTGGGGATAAGCGGGGTTGCAAATAACAAGGTATTTCTGTACAGTACTGTACTAGTTGTGAATTACTTTATAATGTAAATAAGAGAAAGTAATTAGGTAAACATCTAGAAATAATTGTTTTTTAAAAAAAATCATTAGATGATCAGGAAATAAAACTAACCTCAAAGTTATGATGATGCACAGTTACAATGAGACTGATGAGGACTGCGACTTATTTGACCTTGATTACATATCCACAGATCCACATCATCTCCACTAAACATCCACTTCATATCCATGACAGATCCACTTTTTTTCCACTACACACCCATATAATCTTCACTACACATACCCTGTACACATCATATCCACTACACATCCACTTCAACTCACAGTTCCTAATCTGGGCAATTTTCCAAGCTCTCCCATCCGTTTTGGATATTATCTGAGATGGATGGTAAAATGTCTGAGGCTGACCCTGTTTGAGAATCACAGGGGTCCAAGTGAGTGAGAGTTTACTGTGTGAATGCAAATTCAAAATTATGAAGATTGAAAATATAATGAATTTTATGAAAAGATCATCTCTACATAGCTCCAGATGAAGACACATTGTCCAACATAAATCATAATGGAGAACATAATAATATTTTAAAATTTTGCCTCACACACACACACACACACACTCACACACAGAAGTAATTGAAGAACATTACATATATAAATATTTACAGTATTGAAGGGGAAAAAAGCATTTTGCATATTACAGTACAATTCTGTATGTCTAACTGATGATCAGCCTCAGCCACTATTGTGTCCATTGCTCCCTTCTCTCTATGAAAGGAGTACAGTACCTCCTTTCATAGAGATAAGGAAGCAATGGACACAATAGGAGAAGCTATGCCTCCTCCCAGTGGTCTTGCCTCTGAAGAGAATACTTTAGTACAAGATCAGAGATAAACACCTTGAATGAAATGGTCAAAATCCTAATGACACAATATCTTGATATACTGTACTGTATATTGTACTGAAGCTTACCGTATGTGGAATTTGT